CGGTGGAAATGGGAGCCGTTCAACGTAAGATACATGCGGAGATCGACCACATTCTTAACCGAAATCCACCTTCTCAAGCAAAGGTTTCAGCCGAAAGGGGGAAAGAGGATCTGTCACCGTGTTGGAGGAAGAAGGGAAGTCGTTATGGCGGTGTCACATTGGACGAGCTCCTAACATGATTGGCTCATCGAGGAGCACCCAACGAAAGACTACGACCTGCTTTTCAGAGGAGTGGGAGCCTGCGGTGAAAAGGCCTCAATGCCTCGAAAAAGGAACTTGGAACGAATTTCGAAATCCATCAAGGGGCAGTCAGAAAGGAGGAGAGCAATAAGACTGGATCCGACTGCATAACATCTCGAGCGATTGATAGCTAATACCAATTGCAGAACAGCTTTGAAAGAATATATTCCAAGATGCAGGCAATCGAAGCTTTTGGAAGCAGCACAGGGAAAGTAAAGTCTGAATAAGTACCGCCGGAACCTTTTTAACTACCATATTCCGCTGACAACATTAGTAAATGAAGACGGAACTCTCAAATCTTTCCGACAAAAGATGGAATCGATTACGAAGAGGTTTTTAACTCCGAGACCAGACCACCTTTAGACGATCTCCTAGTTGGAGGATATCGCTTAGATGAGACACTTGCGATGCATCCAGCGTCTTGTCTTCAAAAAAGGATCCCGCATCAGTGGAGACTCCCAACAAATTCCTTCATAAAAAGGGCGAAAGTAAGGACCATTGGAATTACCGTTCAGTATGCTTGCTGAGCGTGCTTTACAAGCTTCTCGCGAAGAGGAGCTTGTAAGGCATGCTAGCCGGCAACTTTGCTTTTGCAAGGGCTCAGCTGCGTGGAATCCAGACGGTTTCGAGGATTATCGACGTTTGTCGAGAGTGCCGACTACCTCTCGTCCTTCGTCGACTGCGTGTAAGCGTTTGACAACGTCGACACCAATGTCATATTGTTAAGAAGTGGACCCCTGGTCGACAAGCGCTCCTAATCTTATGTGAGGACATTGGCCAACTGCTACAAATACTGCTCTGCAACG